CAAACTGCACAATAGCTACAGCATAGAGAAAACTATCCAAGTATCTTGACTCTCTTTGGACCATTTTCCACCCAAAAACAAGACCGGAAATAAAATAAATATAAATAATAAAATAAAAAAATAAAAAATATTAATAAAATAAATTTTATTTTTTTTCTAATTTTTAGACAAATTATCCAAGCATCTTGACTCCCTTTGGATCACTTTCCACCCAAAAACTAAACCAGAAATAAAATAAATATAAATAATGAAATAATAAAATAAATTTTATTTCTTTTTAATTTTTTGATGCTTGTCGTAGAGAAAACTTATTTAAAAACATTTATTTTATTATTTTATTATTTATATTTATTTTAATTCCGGTTTAGTTTTTGGGTGGAAAGTGATCCAAAGGGAGTCAAGATGCTTGGATAATTTATCGAAAAGTTAAAAAAAAATTTATTTTATTATTTTTTATTTATTTTATTACTTCATTATTTATATTTATTTCATTTCCGGTCTAATTTTTGGGTGGAAAGCGATCTAAAGGGAGTCAAGATGCTTGGATAATTTTCTCTATGCTGTAGCTATTGTGCAGTTTGTAAGGGTCCCTTGTTAGAGGATTTTATTCTTGTATGTATATGGCCTCAAGAGGAATCCTCTGAAATGAAGAGGAAAATATTCTGTGCACAATATTCTAATAGTTAGAATAATTTCGTCTTGCATTTACAGTACAAATCTTGTACTGTAAATCTATATTTACAATTCACATTATTTATATTTTAGTTTTTCAGTATGTACAACGAATAACGGAACGCAGCCTTACTGCGTCTGTTTTTGCAAATGCAGCGCAACACTTGAATCAATCGTCACGGCAGAACGCAGCGATACACATTGCTTTTCGTGTTACCCATATCGCATGTAAGAAGGCATTCCGCTTGAAAAAAACATATTCCTCTTAATACAAGAGGAAAACCGAAAAATAATATCTAATAGATTTTAGATGAACAATTCACTTTATTGAAAGAGGAATACTCTGTCTGTAAAAGTTTTCGCTTAAAATATGGGATTAGAGGAAATTTCACTTTGGAATTTCACTAATTAGAATTTTTTTTTGGGTGTACAATCTGATTGTAGGATAGTAGTGGTTAGTGAACAGCAGCATTAAGATTTAAAATTGATATGTAAACTTTGTTTTACTTACGAGATAGTTGCATGAACAAAGAATAATTGATGTCGCTAGAAACTGGAAGCGCGCTTCTATACTAATAGCACACACGAAAGTGACAACTAGTCCCGAGGGAATGCCAATTTCCAATTTTTTATCATACTTTTTCAGAAAATTCGAGAAAGTCATATGACTATTATGTCGAAAGTTCGATTATGTTTTAATGACACGCAGAGTCACAAGCAGATTTTGCTTATCGTTGTTTTTCCTTTGTTTCGTTCACGCTATTAAAAAATATGCTTTCTGTGTGGTGATATCGTGGCGCAAAGAGTGGCATTTGCTCTGCGTATCGAAGGCCCGAGTTTACCCCAAAAGATTTTATAGGAAAGGATTTTATATCACTTCTCAAGAAAAGCAATGACAAACCACTGAGACTTAAAAGATTCCTTCTAATGTCTATCATTTCTATCGATGTATATTAATTTTAGTCTTGGTTTAACTCTATCTCTTTCTGGTTCTCAGAATTAGAGAAAGATAAAAAATAAATCACTCCGAGATTAAAGTTAATTTACATTGGTAGAAATTAATGGATATAAAAGACAGGCCGTTCGGAATTGACATTAAATTGTATGTTTATTCCATATATTTGTATAAAAAAGCGCACTATGCGATATATGCAGCATATTGCTCTCGAAGAGAATTGGATAATAGATTAGTAATATTCTTGTTAAAATTAAAATTAAAATTAAATTTTCAAAACCTTCAAGCAATCGAAAAAGATCAAAGTCCGATTTGGGTTGTTCGCTATTCCTTGAGAAAGGTCATGGTTCTACTTGCTGTTGCACCAAATAATTGATCAATGGACGGATAATACTTTTTAGGAGATCGTCGAGTCAGATTTAATGATAAAAAGCTATTAACTGTTAATAAATATAATTGAATGTTCTTAAAGTTGTTGAATTTCGAACATTGTTGCGTTTACTATTTTTTACGAATAAAGTTACAGTTTCGAGGGGGTAACCACTCAGAAAATATATGTACACCTGGACTTCTGACTTCAAGACTTCACCGGACTTCACGGACTTCATCGGACTACACTGGAATTCATCGGACTACACCGGAATTCATCGGACTACATCGGAATTTATCGGACTACACCGGAATTCATCGGACTTCGTCGGACTTCACTAGATTTCTTTTATGGATATAGTTGCCACTTTTCATATCTTCGTCTCGAAGCACCAACAAAATTTTTCAACAAACTTCCAGACGAATGTTAATGTCCGGACAAAGGCGAAACTTTCAAAAAACTTGATCAAAACTAATGACCTTTTTTTAGGAATTGGAACAGAGATGACCTTTTCTTTTACAAATTAAACTACATTTTCATCAGACTACATCGGACTTCAATGGACTTCAGCCGATTACATCGGACTTCAACGAACTTTACCGGAATTCATCGGACTTCAAGGAATTCAACGGAATTCTGACAGGTTGTACACCGGAATTCAAGAGTGGTTATCCCCTCGTACAGTTTAATGAAATCCCATTAATACTTTAAATACTTAAATACTTAAAAAATGGATGTACTTATTGTCTTATTTGTAAAAAAGTCATGTTCCATCTTTATTCCAAGCTGCATTTTTAACAGAAGCACAATCATCCAGGAAATCACATATTGAAAAGCTAAGTAACATGTTTATAACACAATGACTATACTTTTTATTTAAAATTAGTTTACGAGGTACATTTATATACATAAAAAATTTATGACTATTACATTAAGCTTATGCAATATAGACAGTATATTCGTGCATGTGTATATGTGAGTGTATGTGTGTACTAACGTAATAATAGAGCTCTATTAAAATTCACATTTATACTCGGCATTTGGATGAAAACTTAATAGTCATTTACATCTAATTTGTATCAACTTGCAATAGGTGGTGATACCGGAATGTCGTAAGTTCTCGCTTTTTTTTTTCGCTTCTAACGAAAATTCGCTTCTAAACAAAATCATTCAGATTCTATCCAAGCGACGTAAAAGATTAAAATCTGCATTCATGCCACGCACGTAATGGCAAACGTGACAATTTAAATTTGTATTTTGCCCAACAGAAAATCTTGAGAAAACCTTGCTTGTTCTCTCAAGTACAAATTATAAGATAGCATTTAACATTAAATATGATACGAATATGCAAGATCGTTAGTTCAAACGATGTTTCAAACATTACGTCTTGCATCAATATCCTACATTTTGTGTTAAATGCATTTAATCATTAAGCACAATTGTAATTTTTGTAAACCTTGCGTGATACAAAATTCAGAATCTTTTTAGATGTCTTTAGCAGGATGCAAGTATAGATTTTTTTTTTTTTTGGATGGTTCAGTTGCTTGGGTACGATCATACGATGATCCACGATGATGTAAAAGAAGAATACCAGGTAATAACATTGCGCGTAATGTTGGATGAATAAAAATTGGAACAAATTTCTAATCACTTGAAATGAACGAGTGCGCATCCTTAGAATTATTTCACCTGATTTTTTTTTTTTATATCATGCGACAATCTATAACGCATACATGGGGAAAGTGAAGCACGAGAGGAAGGAATATCGCGAATGAACGCGAGGATGTGATTAAGCAGGATGTGATGTCTGTAGGCCCGCGATAAATATACGCGATATCTTTTCTGCAAACTTAGAAAAGAGCTCGTCCTTTTTGACCGAAAGTGAGGCTCCCGCTACCTTTCACTTTGATCGATGCGATAACCACGGTCAGGGTAACGGTCATGACGGAGACTCGCGTTTTTAAATTATAAACAGATATACAAGCATGTCTAAAATTATCTTTCGACAATGTTATAATAGAGTCGAATTGCAATTCAGTTATAGACTGATGTCTACGAATCATCATCATCATCATCATAACGTCCTCGTTTTTCCTTTCTCCCCTTTCATATTCTCTCATTAATTAACTTACTGTACACACATATAGGCTGGACTCATATTTTTATACTTAATATACATCGAGTCGCGATCTTTACACGTTTCTTCAGTAAATTCTTTTTTCTTATCGGACAAATATTTAACAGACACTTGAGATTCTTGCGGTACATGGATATACAATGTACATACATATATCGGTATATTTAAATATATATACACGTGTGTGTGTGTGTGTGTCTCTCTGTGTGTGTGTCTGTGTGTGTATGTGTAGTATTATATATATGTTTATATATATATGTATATATATATACATATATATATTCTTTATTTCTTGCATGACGAACGATAGATATATGCATCCTCGTGTAATTCGTTTATCAATAAACTCTCCTCCTATATTCATTTTTGTTCCTTTTTTTTTCAATCCTTTTCTTTTCTTCATAAAATGCATGACACAAAAATAAATGCTTATATTTGTGAATTATATTTATCTTCTTTCCATCTCTCTTACACACACTCTTCTCGCGACGTATACACTTAATTAACCATATATAGCTTATCTTCTTCTTTTTACAAAATATCACAAAAATCACACCAGCCTTTGTTCGCAGCAAGAAACCATGTTAAAATCTCGTTAAAACGGTACTCCCGGTCCATTCTGCGTTCATCGTTCTCGCATTTGAAAACATTAACATATATCAACGGTGTATCGATGCAATTGCACGTGCTCGTGGGAATGACCTGCAGTCATGCCATATAATTGGCAGTGATTTACGTAACAGATAAACGAGAAATTCTATGCAGCGAATATTTTACAAGAGCTTCGAGTCACGATGTATCATTGGAAATTTCGAAGAAAAACGCTCAACTGCAACGCCAATCTCCCTACGCGTTTCCAATTTATTTTAAACATTTCTCAATCAATGTGCGTTTAACAAATATGCATTTTATTGATTTTATCAATATTTTATGTATACAAATAATCGTATGTGAATGAAAAGTTCAGTCAAATCAATTAAATTATTCGAGTTGCAACCAGGCTTGTAAATGTAATCGAATTGTAACAAAATTATGATCCAGATAAAACCTGTCAGTTCCAATCTGAGAGTTATGTAATTTTCTCAATTGCGAAAGGATCAAAAGTTATCGCGCATCATCTGACAACATTCGAAATTAGTCATGAAACAATCTGCATCGACTATCATGGCATTTCTCAGGATCTCGGTATGATAGTGTTCTGTCACGTTTTTTTTTTTTTTTTTTTACCGCGTGCACGTGGTATCGCACATATACGTTCGCACATTATTCGCGCACACGTTATAATATCGCCTTAGAGTCTAGACATCGACTTTTTTCTTTTTTTTTTTTTTCTTCAACATTATCACGAATTTTGTCGCCTCGATTTGAGATAAAGTGGTTCACGCACTGCGGAGCTCTCGCTATCTCGTACTCTGAATGCCCGAAGAACAAGGAAAGCAAATCGGACGACGAAACAATGAAAGCGCTAGTGACCAGCACGACGCGCGACACGCGCGTGTCTTCACTGTGTGTAGACCGCACGTGTTGAAGGCGGAGAAAATACATCTAAACGCTACTTGTCTTTTATAAACCCACGGTTGTCCAATCGTCGTTCTTATTGCACTCTTTCAGCGAGGCCTTGACGTACACGCGAGAATCTGGAAATCCGGAGAACATTTTTGTACGTTTCTTTTTTTACGCGCACACCGATTAAATAGTCTGACACCTCTCCTCCCTCCAGGGAAAAAATCCGCGTATGTCGCGACGCGCATTACTTATTCCGAAAAGTATCGCTCGACATGAAGTTAACTTCACCAATGTGTGTCGGTTCCTTTCTTATAATTTTTTTTTACACATTTTACCAAATCTTTATCTTTAATGGGGAAACTTCTTCGGATCGCCACACACACGAAGAGTACTTCCGTATATATAAAATAATTAATTTTTTTAATCGTATATAATATATATGTATATATATTTCTATATTATCAGAACTATCTCTTTTTTTTTCTTCTCGATCTCTTATCCATTATAAAAGAGAAACAGCGAGCATTCAGTGATTTATGCTACTGTTTTTGTCATTTCTACTTAATCCTTTCATTTGATGATTTATAGGAAATATATTCCTAAGTAATCTTAGAAAAGTGGATTTCGTACACAAACAAAGACACTTATGCCGATTGTTGTTCTCGTAGCCATATGAATTGTTCATAAAATCACCCATCACTACCCATTCTATGGTTGATGTATTTATCCATCCGTGTCTTGCATAACAATAGGCGCAATACAAAAAGAGAATCTCTACGATTCGAGATATACATTTGTTGTATTAACATAACTCTCTCTTTCTCAAATTCCCTGTACTTGTCTCCCTGAATGTTTCGATAAAATACGGCTCGTTGAAAATGTGCTAAGTAGACGTCCGAGGTCGCAATTAGCATTCAAAAATATATACACGGATTATCACGAATAATTAATTCTTCCTGCGAATTATCCAAGGCAACACGATGCATCAGACTTGTTTTTATACAGCTGTGAGAGAAAGTTCGACATCTTACCACTTATATATCGATAACATCAACAAAATATTCGCGCATGTTCGTCATTTTCGAAGAACGCGTGTTCACAATTTTTATTTTCTCCCACCGAATCATCGAACGACAAAAATGCGTTTGATCTACAATTTTTTTGTTTTCCACAACAATCAAATGGAACCGTCCAGACAAGTGTGTTAATAATATTACAAAATGTCTCCATTCCAGTTTTTTTTATATCAAGTCTCGAAACCATTCGTTGTTCGTCGATAAGACACTGGGATCGAAATTTTGTCAAGCGATATCTCCAATTGGTGGGCAAAAGCTATTTAGCGCGTTTCGAGTTCATCTCAACAATGTTAACAGTGATTCGTTAAAAAGATTACAAATCTTGTGATCCACAATAAAAAAAAAAAAAAAAGAAATCTACAGAGTAGACAAATACAATTTGTCATCCATAGCTAACTATACAACAAATTTCGCACATCAAATGCGCGAAATGTGCAATAGAAACATTTGCAAAACTCACAAACAACTTTACGTTTTCGCGTCTAGCACAAAAAAAAAATTACGAGAGGTCGGCGACATACCATCGCAAATTGTCATTCAACCTCCCGAAACATTACAGATCACTTCTTCCTTATTACTTGGCCGTTGTTTATCTATCGTCTTATTTGGAAAAAAAAAAATCATTTGAAAAATCTTAAATTCGGGACTGTGTACAAATTTACACACGTCGTCGTCGACCATGTGTTTCCGTAAGTGGAATATTCGTATAGCTAACCGTGCGCCTGTCACAGCAGCCGTGCATGGTGACGGCGAATCCCTCGATCTGCACTGAGAAATGCACTTCTAGAGATCTTAATAGAGCATTTACACAGTTTTGTGCAATTGATTAATGCTTTCTACACCTAGCAGAATGATCTTCATGCAGCTCATTTGGCCTCATCCTGCTCCATTGGCTCCTCAGAGACCTCTCGGGAATGTTCTGGCGTGGTCCTGTAATTTTAAATAAACATGCATATATTAATATTTAATAAATTTAGAAATAAATAATGGAGAGAGAGGGGGGAGAGGAGGAGAGGAAATATTTAATACTAACGTGAGGTTTGTAGGCTGCTGCATAGATAGAGAGGCCATTGCAGACACGGTTTCTGTCTCGTCGTGTTCCTTTTGGCTCGCCTCTATGGCGCTCATTGCGACTGTGTGGGCAGCAAGCTTTACGCAAGGCCAATGTGACATCTAAGAAGTACAATAATAATATAATAATAATAATGTTAATGATAAACTAAATATGTGTTAATATGTTAATATGTTAAATGATAAACTCTAAATATAGGGGAATGTCGTCAGGGTTGGGACGCTGTTAGGGTAGGGACACTGCTATATTTTGTCCGAGACACTTAGCGCCACCATTGTCAAAGCGTGGCATGACTACTCTCGGTGACAACAAACTTTTCACAGTATTACTCGTGTCGAAAACAGGTTTTAACAA